CCCCCGTGCGGGTAAGGACCCTGGCGGCCCGTGTGCCCCTCGCCGCTGCTCCGGGCAGGCACTCGGGTGTCTCGATTCGATTCTCTTCCCCTGTAAGCGAACGGACGCAGCGGTTCCGTGGCTGTTTAATGCCACAGGCACGGCAGCGCAATGGAACCGCTTGGCTTTGTTTGCTCTCCGCTCTTTGAGGCGCCCCCGGTGCGGCTCTGCCGGGTCCCAGCACCAAGCGGCGCTGCATTCCAGACCCGCATCAGTTCCAAGTCATAGAGTTTGTTTTAACAAATGTTAGTTATACGGGGCTTTTTTCCCACCACGACTCTGTAGCTCGGTAATTGACTTTCTGTAAGCGCTTCTGCAAGCTCAACCCTTTAATCTATTAGAAAAACACACTTTTAGCACACTCTCTCCTTGTGCCTGTGCCTGTAGCTGCCCCGCACTCTCCTGTGCTGGGCGCAGCTCTGCCACGCCGCGGTGAAATCGGCCGGGACAGCGCGCTGGGTTCACGTGCAGGACACAAACAATGGTTCTGCATTGTCAAGAGATCTGTGTTTGCTTTCCTTTCTGTGTTAGATATGCAAGATGCCTTTAACCGTCTTGGCTCGAAGCGTCTGAGAGGAACGGGAGCTCAAGATGAGAACCAACAAGGTGTACAAGCTCGTCATCCATAAGAAGGGGTTTGGAGGCAGTGGTCAGTATCCCCTTGCTCATAACAGTGAGATCAACACTCACTTAATTGAAAACAATTGTTTTATTGTAAAATTGCAGTTGTGAAAGAGTGAAGATGCAACAAGCAGTATTTCCAGCCAGAGTTTGCAAAGATCTTTCTAATAACAGGATACAGCAAAATAAATGAACGTTTATTGGAAGAGACAAAGATTGTATCTAAAAATAAAATAGCTTTGTTTTTTTCTTCCTCTCCTTTTGTTGCCACACTTCTCTCAATCTGGTGTTTCAGTCACCCTAAGGAGTGACACACATTCAGTGACTTATGGCTGCACATGGATGTGTTTCTGAGCACTAATAACAGTGCCACTGATTGGATTGCTCACTGCTTCTAGATTTACACATGAATAAATCTTGTTGAGATTCTATAGCTGTCTACTTTCCTGCTGGTTTGTTGTATGAAAAGTACAGAGGATCATTCTGGTTGTCTAAATAAGACACAGTCTTTTGTGAACACTTCTTTTGTGAAAGTTCTGTTATTTGAGTTGTTTGTGCCTGCAGGAGTGGCTGGGTAGGGACCCTGTCATGTGGGGAGTAGAAAGCATTTTGCTGATGTGTTCATCTTGGTTTGGAATATTTATGTATGCTGAGCTGCTGTATGTAAACATGCAGGTGCCTGTTTAGTGTATAGCTGTTCACTGCCCTCGTTCACTTATGTCTTGTAGATGATGAACTGGTGGTGAATCCTAAAGTATTTCTTCAAATCAAGTTGGGAGATGTTGTGGAAATTGCACATCCCAATGATGAATACAGGTGAATTCTCTTTGCTGATATCAGTGAGGCTGGAGCACTGAAAGGATCTGTTCATGTGTAGTGCTTTCTAGAGTGAGAGGCTCTTGGGGCTGACATCACTTTGCCTCAGGATGCTGTCATGTTTTTTTCTGCCTAAAGAGAAGTAAAGAGGTAACTTTAGCAAGAGTGCTTCATTAAAATTAGCTTCATTCAAGACTGCTTCATTAAAATTTATGAAGTTCTTGTGTTTAGTGTTAGTTTGCTCATCTTCCATAGGCCCAGTAGCACCTGAATATAGAATTGACAATGTCTGTAATGCTCTTCCTAGATCTACTGTTACTTAAAGATTATTCTCCTATCCTACAGTATATCCTAGGCAAAATTAAAATTTTGTGGCCTTGTTGTATGAACCTGTTCATCCTGCAGCCTCTGTCTGAAAGGCAGCAGTAACTTGTGTGAGGATCTGAGAAGTTCTTGTGTGACCTGGTTTCCCATTTGTAGTTTCATCTTTACCTCAAGAGTACCTTATAATTATGAAGAGTGTAAGGAGCAAGACAGAGAGACAGGTGGAGAGGATGGTGCATGAAGCTTTCTAGAAAATATTAATGTTTCTCTCCATTTTATCCTGTGGTCCATGTTACTAAATAGTTTTGAGTGTGTGATTTACCAAAGAGACTGTTGGTACCTCAACTTGTCTGCTTTTTTTCCTCTTCTCCATGCTAGTCCCCTGCTTCTCCAAGTGAAGTCACTTAAGGAAGATCTGCAGAAAGGTAAAACTTGAGACTTATGCACAGCAATATCATATGAAGGGTGACGTGCCTGGGCTGTACCTGTAATTGACTCGTGTGTGTATTTAATTTCATCTGAAAATCAATGCTTTGCCTGTTTAGCAAGGGAAGGATTAGAATTTTAACAGAAAACAGGCAATTAGTTCTAAATCTGCTTTTGTTTGGGTAACATGAGTATGGTTTAAGCAAACCTGACTTTTAGCCTGAAATGTGTCTTTCATGACAGTCTGACTGTGCTGGTTTTGTAGCTGCAAACCACTTGGAACCTGTTGGTGACATTGACCCCTCTGCTGTCCTTTCTTGCTCCCTGGCAGAAACGATCAGTGTGGACCAGACAGTGGCGCAGGTGTTCCGCCTGCGGCCCTACCAGGATGTCCATGTCAATGTTGTTGACCCCAAGGTCTGTGGGTTTGCCACTGTTTCCATCTATTCCATTAATTAACTCAAGTTACAGCCCTGTGACTTTCCATCTACAGTAGTCTGGGGGAAGAAAGGCATTTATTTTTCGTTGAAAGATATTTAGTCTTCTTCTCTAAGAAAGTGAGCCTTAGGCTTTTGAATTATTTGTTGGTTTGTTATATGTTGCTTCTCTCCCTGCAATCTCTGCTCTCTTTTTGAACTCTATGATCCCGCTTCCACAGAGCTTGGTAGAAATGTAGAACATTTCACATATTTTTAAATTTCAAAAATTTGTGAGAACCAGGCGCAATAAAGAAAAGCAGAAAGTAGCCTAGTCAGAAGAAGAGCCATGGCCTGGATTTGCATTATTTGGTACCACAGAGCCTCTTACAGAGGGGCATTTCCTGTAAATGTTCCAGCTGTTAAAAGAGCTGCAGTCTGAACTTACATTCTGCACAAGACAAAAGTCTGCAGGAAATGAGGTTTCCTTAATGTCATGAGCAATGGCAATAATTTATTTCAGCTTCCAACCTGCACTGAGACTTAGAGTACAGATTTAGCTCTTGGGCTTTTCTGATCACATTGTGGAAGATTTTGCAGCTCACAGTAGTTGAGGTACATGCACAACTTTGTTATTTATTTGTATGGGCTTCCCCTTTATCTTGCAGTTTTAGGGATATTGACTTACTTTTGAATGGCATTTCTTGTAACATTTGGTTATTAAATGAACAGATTGGGCTGCCCTACTTAGAAACAACCAGTAAAATCTAAGCAGTGTTTTTCATCCATTTCCCAGGAGGTGACCTTGGACTTGGTGGAGCTGACATTTAAAGATCAGTATATTGGGCGTGGGGATATGTGGAGGCTGAAGAAGAGTTTGGTAAGGCCCCTGCTGCCCTTGGGCAGGGTGCAGCTGATGAACCTTTTCTTTTGCTTGCTGTGCATGAAAAGAAGTGCTTTGCAAAATGCAGAGAGCCAAAGACAGTGCCTGCAGCTCCTGAGGATTTTGTGCTTTGAGTGGCACATCAGAGTTGGAGAAATGGGTGTAAATGCTGCAGAAAAACAAATCCCATCATTTCCTACTCCACTGGTATAAGTTTAATTACTGCCTTGGGCGTTGAAAATGAGTATAGAGAGGTTTTTTTGCTTATGTTCTGAATTTTAATGATTGCTACATTTGGAAGGAAATGAGTCCAAATGTTTTTCAGGCAGAAGTATGCTGAAGAGTCCCCTCTCTGAGAGTGCCACTTAATAAGCAGCTATTAGAGTATCTGCTGCCTGCATCTCTGAAGTGCAGTCTGTAGCTCCTCTAAGTGCAGGGAATTAGGCAGATGGTCCCAGTCAGAGCTGATCTGTGTTAAAAGTGGTTTTCTGTGTCTATTACAGAGGTTCTGTAGGCTGAGCTATTAGTAGTAACTACACTGAATGGACTTTGTGACTTCTGTCATAAAAATCATGTTTGAGTGCCAGTGGGTTTTATGTACATTGTTCTTCTCACTCTGAGCCTGCTCTTCTTCTAACACCTGCAACTCTTCTTTCCTAGGTCAGCACATGTGCATATGTCACCCAAAAAGTTGAATTTGCAGGTATCAGGTCAGTGCCTCCTCTGAGGGCTTACTGTTGTTTATTGCTTTAACTTCATGAGTTTTAAGTATCCAGCTGGAGGCTCTTATCTGAAAAATCCCTCATGTTCCATTGTTCTCTTACTCATCCATAAATTTCTGTTTGCACCATGGGGTATGGGAAGGCTTCTGTCTGGTTTGGGGTAAAAGAAACTAATAGTAGGGCAACCAACTACACTTGTGGCCTCTGATGGAGGCCAAATAGTTTTATTTTTATCTCTTTGAATATTTGCCCCCCTTCCCAAGCTGTATTCATAGTTCAGAGGGAATTACTTCAGTTGCTTTTGGGGTGACACAGGGACAAGAAAATGTGCAGATGCAAAGGGAAATGGCTGTCTGACATAGTTTGGGTTAAATATCGGATTTTAACCAAATAAGTCGTCCTTGAGTGCAGATTTTGGTACATCTCTTACTTGCTCAATTACTGATTCTCTAATCTTCATATTCAAATATTCTGCACTTCTTTTCTTCCAGAGCCCAGGCAGGTGAACTGTGGGTAAAGAGTGAGAAAGTCACTTGTGGATACATCAGTGAGGACACCCGGGTAAGAGCTCAGGAAACAGGGGAAAGCAGTTTTCCCTTCCTTTCCTTGCCTGCCAGGATTTTGTAATTCTGCCTTGCCTGCAGATTTGTATGGATCATTGCAATTGGCTGTGTTGTGAGGTGAAGAATGGCAGTAAGTTCAGGACAACAAATCATTATTGAACTTCAGCTCTGCTAGGAATGGCTTGTTAGAGGGGAAAGGCAGCTTGTCAGAGGGGAATTTGCCTGTTTTGGAAGGGCCACAGTTGTATGAGTTGCTGTGCAGTTAACCTCTTCATTTGGGCCTTCTAATGAATGTGCTTGGTTTTAAAGGAGGTCTTGCCTTCCTTTGCAGGTGGTCTTCCGCTCCACTTCTGCCATGGTTTATATTTTCATCCAGATGAGCTGTGAAATGTGGGATTTTGATATTTATGGTATGTAGGTAGCTGTGGCTGTGGATGGTCACAGCTGTCCTTTCTGCTCCTGCTATTTTTTTCTGCCACTTCCAGCAAAGTAAAATATCCTGCCTTTGGCCTGAGCAGTGCTCCAGGGTGTGTTGTGGTATTTCCTTAGGTTCTTCCTTGCAGTGCCACCCATTTCTGTCCCTGTCTGTGCCATCCTTGTCCTGTCCCTGTGAGCCTGGGTACCCTCATCTATCTCAGCCACAAAATCACTGTGAGCACTGGAAAGGTTTTCTATGGATATCAACATGTTGGGTGATGGGGGCAGGTGCAAGTTTGTGATTCCTGAAGCCAGAAATGTGTCCAAGTCCTGTGCAGAGAGGACCTTGATGTTTTAGATTTCTCTGACTTTGGCTTCTTGAGGGAGTGAAACCTGCCTTAGCCCAGGCTGAGGTTGGTGACTTCAGCTGGAAGAATTACAACTTCAGGCATTAAGAATGAGTCACTTCTCTGTTGTCATCCTATTTTTTTTCTGGCATAATTCTTTAGCAAACCTCTTGCCACTTCCTTTGACCATGTGTTTTAGGCATATGGACCTGGGCAAACATTCAATTCAGAGCAGGGGATCAGTTGTGCATTGTCTGCCTAAAACACAGTACAGATGCTTTCCCAGCATGCTGCAAACATGTTGGAAAAATGAGTTAAAGGTCTGATCCTTCTGGCATTGTCTCATGTTTACATCCTCTGAAAAAAATTACGCTTTTAAATCTTTTTATCATAAAACAGTCATGCTTTTAAATCTTTTTACCATCTTATCTTAGTGATATTGTCCTTTATTATGCACACAGCTGCTTGAGATTTAATAATTATAATTGTCCTAGAATCTTAGGGTTAGATATGCCCCATATCTAACTTCTATAGGTGAGGTAACTATTGTTATCTGATGTTTAGGAAATTTTTATTTTGCAGGGGATCTATACTTTGAGAAAGCTGTGAATGGTTTCCTTGCTGACCTCTTCACAAAATGGAAGGTGAGTAGTTGATTGAGTTCAGTTTTAATTTTTTATTTTTCTGTAATTGTTGGGGACATCTCTCTGAACAGTAACACATCAGAATATCAAATTGCTGTGGGTGTAAATAAACTGTGTCAACTGTCTGTTTTCTTAACAAAAATCTTGGCAACTACAGAGAGGAGCTTCTTTAGAGAGTAGTGGAGAGTGCTCCTGGTAAATTGATATGGCCAAGCAGCACAGAATCTGCAGGACAGACCATTTGTTATTTCAGAGAGGCAGATGGAGCACTGATGCAGATCCATTAATGCAGTAATCTAGGTTTTGTTAGTTACCTTTGTTTCTAGGTATGAGGGAAGAAGGGCTGTTCCTATATGTGTATATACACAACTTTCTACCAAATGTGACTTTTAATGGTTTTTTTTCTGTGTTTGTTCTTCCTGGACAGGAGAAGAATTGCAGCCATGAAGTGACAGTGGTTCTATTTTCGAGAACATTTTATGAAGCAAAATCTATAGGTATGCAAATTCTCTGTTTTCATGTTTCCATTTTTAAACCTATCTCGTTTCTTGAAAGTTGGTCACAGGCTGACAGGAACTTGTCTTTTTTAAAATTGCCATTTTCAAAGTATTCTCTATCAAGCACAGTAGGTACACAGCCATTGTAATGAAAGTACTGCAGTCAGAACCTTACATAGAAGAGTGTTGCAAATTTTCCTCATACTCAAGCTGTCATATTTGTTTAAAAGCAGTTTTTTATTAGATAGGAGGTCTGATGTTTCTCCAGGTATTTTGGTTTTTAGTTTGCTTGCTGGAGGCCTTTTCTTGTTTTCTGTTTGTTTTTTAAAATGGAAATAACAGCTTTTGGCTGGAAAAGATTAGTCATTTCTGTAGAAGAGCATGAGATGAGATGTGCTTTTCCTTCCATTTCAGATGAGTTTCCTGAAACACATCGTGCATCAATTCGGCAGGATCACGAGGGAAGATTCTATGAAGATTTTTACAAGTATGTTTTCCTCCCACTTCTTTTCACCTCTTGTCCCTCAGTGTATGTGCCACCCAACGCACCCTTTTGTGCATTTCTTTATAGTTTGTTCCTCCCCTCTCACTTCCCCTCATAGCTTCTTTCCTGGGCCTCACCAGGCTGTGTTTTTTCTAGAGTTGTAGTGCAGAACGAGAGGCGGGAGGAGTGGACCTCCTTGCTTGTGACCATTAAAAAGCTTTTCATCCAGTATCCTGTGTTGGTACGACTCGAGCAAGCAGGTACCAGAATCTTCCTTTCCCTGCTTTTATCCTTTGCTCTTTCCTCTTTTTTTTTTTTTTAATTTTTAGCTTGTCAGTAAACTATCCATTTTTAGTTGGATTCTGGTGTCATGCTACTTAGTGCTCTCCTGGCTGGGCAATTTGCCTCAGTCTTTCTGTGGAACTTAATAACATCAATTTTGCCATTTGCATTTTGCCTTTTGCATATTTGAACCAATAGTATTTAGTACAGATGTATTTTTCTGTGGGTTTTTTATTATATAAAGCTAGTATACAGGAATGATGATTTTTTTTTTTCCTTTTTGAATACTTTTCCAGAGGGCTTTCCATCAGGTTACAATTCTACCTCAGCACAAGGGAACTACCTGGAGGCTATAAATCTTTCATTCAATGGTAAGTTACAAGCAATGGGTAGAAATACAACCATTGAAGCAGCTACCATTAAATGGCTGTGGACTTAATGTTTCTTTTTCCTTAACACTGTGAAGAGGAGGGGAATATTAGGGGATTGCCTGCCTTTCTCTGAAAAGAAACATCCAGGGTGTTCTGACAGTATTGCTGCTTTCTTGTCACTGTCACATTTTCTGAAAAATTCTCTTTTCCCAGGATTTCCTCCTGGGAAGCTGGGAAGCTGCTTTGGAATGTGGTTTGGAGATGGTTTATCCAACATGTGAATTGTTTTTACTTAATGGCCAATCATGGCCAGTGTGTCAAGGCTCTGAGGAGTCTGTCACGAGTTTTTATTATTCATTCTTGTTAAGCCTTTTGTCTGTGTCCTTCTCTTTCTGTAGTATAGTTTTAGTAAAGTATTCTTAGAACACCACACCACATACAACACAACATGTAACACATTGTGATGGTGTTTGTCCCAGGATGAGGGAAGAGATGAGGATCTGACTCCATGTTTCAGAAGGCTTGATTTATTATTTTATGATATATGTTATATTAAAACTATACTAAGAGAATAGAAGAAAGGTTTTCATCAAAAGGCTAGCTAAGAATAGAAAAAGAAGGAATGGTAACAAAGGTTTGTGGCTCGCACTCTCTGTCCGAGCCAGCTGACTGTGATTGGCCATTAATTAATAACAACCACATGAGACCAATC